TTTTTTTTTTTTATTTGAATTGTCAGTAACAAATATGTCACAAATACTTGTTTGAGGCGGCGTAACAGGTAGACGGGTCGACTTGTTAAGCACTTTTGTCAAAAATTGCATAATTATGTAAATGTCAATACCTTTGGTTATGCTGTTATTTAATATATGACATTTCCATTTGAAAGTATGGTTGTGACAGCCTTAGTGTATATATATTACCTCAAAAGCAATTCTTGTAAGCTGACTAGATCAAAATCGGAATAGTTAAAGAGCCCATATTATATTACTATCCAAGGTTCAATTTGAATTTGAGACAGTTTATACCTTAGATGAACTAGAGCCAAATTTACATAAAATGATTTTATTTGGACCCAGATCACCCGGCAATGATTGAGCTCATCTTTTATAGTTACTTACTTTCATGTGTTTTAGTTCAGAGCCCAGTGGCTATTCATTTCAAGATCTTTTTGCTAGTGGCATAATCCAATCAAACCGTTGCAATCATTGCAAACGCCGATGTTTTATCTGAAATTAATCACCAGTCCATTTAGAGCTGCATCTTACATATTGTTGGTCAATTATAGCTATTGGAATTTGGGTTGGCAAAAATTTGATCCTTTAAGTGAAGTTCTGTGAGAGGTATGCCAGCATGCTATTGAACTTGCCACTAGACGTGCTGTCTCTCACATAAACAACATGATGATAAGACTAAAGTCTATGTTTATTGTTCAGAAGTGGGGTGGTTCTATAATTTTTTTTTTGTCCAACACATGTTGGGATGTTTAGGTACAAAGTTGATTATGTTTACATAATGCATTATGCCTGTTGATAATTTGTGCTTTAATTTCAGTTTGGGCATGGCCAATCAAATCCCACGTTTCTCCTGGATGTTCAGTCTGGATCTCTGAAGAAGAAATATGTGATGAGAAAGAAACCTCCAGGAAAGATACTTCATTCTGCACATGCTGTTGAGAGAGAATTTCAGGTTCTATTCTATATATTCTCTATCTATAACAAATATGGCGATATTTATCAGTTTTCTCAATATCCAGTCATTACCTTGAAGTGGTTTCATTTTTTTTTTCTTCCTATTTTTAACTCATTGCCCATTGGACATTGCTATATTGATGCGCCACTTTGTCATTTCAGGTTCTACATGCCTTAGGCACTCATACGTTGGTTCCAGTGCCTAAAGCTTACTCCTTATGTACCGATTCGAGTGTGATTGGGACTCCATTTTACATCATGGAGTACTTGGAAGGTCGCATATACTTAGACCCCTTGCTCCCAGTACGAGTTTTACTCTTTTTTATCCCTTTCTTTTCTTTTCTTGTTTCCTCCTTAAATGTCAGCTGAACAAATGACATTTTATTTTCCAAATGGCAACAAGTGACTTGGGTAATATGATTTGTAATTATTTATTTCTCATTGTTAGGGTGTGGAACCTAGACGAAGGAATGCAATATATCGTGCAACTGCTAAAGCTTTGGCATCTCTTCATTCTGCTGATGTGGATTCCATTGGGTTGCGTACTTACGGGAAACCAAATAATTACTGTAAACGGCAGGCAAGAATTGCTTTCTTTGGTTAGTATGTGAGTAGGTATCTTTTGTTTTTGTCCTCTCTGCTGGTTAATAGCGATATATTATTATATTATATCTGATTTTGTTTGGAAATAAGAACAATGATTTTGATAATGCTATTTGATATGATTTAGGATTACCTAATTGGGAATGGGAAATGTCTGAGTGGCTGGATAGTGAAATTTCTGAGATTTTTTTGGCATTAAATTATGAGTAGATGTGTTTGACAATTATTAAGATATTTAAAATGAGTGGGTGCCTTACTGTTATTTTATGTTTTGTTTATATATTTGTTTCTTGAGAATTTCCTTAACTAATCTGAAAAAATTTGGAGGGGAATTGCAACCTCAAGTGCTTCATTTCTCCCTTCATCTTAAAGAATTGCCTCTTTCAACTTTCCAATTGTATTGTTGATTTTTCATTTAAATGGGGGGAGCTCCATTAAAGTCTAAACAATACAGTAGATATTCATAGTTCATGCATATTTGTCTGTTAAAAGTTAAAACAAGGTAATGAAATTTCTGAGGTTCCTTAGGTTGATAGATGGGGTAAACAGTACCTTTTCTCTACCGGCGAGGGCAAATCTGACAGAAACCCAAGGATGTTGGAGCTTGCTCAGTGGTTGAGCCAACATATTCCTCTGGAAGATTCTTCGGGAGCAGCAGCAGGTTTAGTACATGGCGACTTTCGGATTGATAATCTTGTTTTTCATCCTATTGAGGTCAGTGTACTTTCAAAAATCACCTGATGGTCACTATGGACCAGCGAGGGTATTATTTGTTTTGAGCACCATTTTGATTCATATCTAACTGCAGGATAGAGTGATTGGCATTCTTGATTGGGAACTATCTACCCTAGGCAATCAAATGTGCGATGTTGCATACAGCTGCATGGTACTAAGTCAACTGCAACTATTGTGGCTCTTTTGTGGGTTTTATTGCAAAACTACTCTTGATGTCTTATCAAGTTAGAATTAAGATGAAAAAATAACTTTATCTTTCTTTCGAAAGTTACAGAGATACTATTGATATTTGCTTTATTATTCAAATTGTACTTTTGGTAAGGGGATGGTTGTTTGCTACCACAAGAGAAGGGGGTTGTTTGTAACTTCGGAAGATAATTGTATTTTCTTTGTTATAAAGTCAAACTGGGTAATTTGGTAATGCCTATTATTTCTAAGTTTTCTCTTGAAAGCTATTGCATTCTAATGGATGATTTTTTATTTTTATTTTTTTTTTTTATTTTTTTAATGCCAGCATTACATTGTGGATATTTCTCTGGACAAAGTAGAAAAGAATGGTGGTCTTGAATTGACTGGATTACCTGATGGGGTTCCTTCATTGCCTGAGTATCTCGCAGATTATTGTGCAGCTGCTGTATGAACTATGGACTACATATGTTTCTGAATTTTCTACTTTGCTTAGATCAGTCAATTTCAGAAGTACTCAGTTAAATTCTCACTCAGTAACTCAGAATAGGCTTCCGATATTTTTTCTCTAAATTCTATCTGACTAAATTGAAATAAATATTGTTGCGCTAATTTCATTGGAGGCTCTCTTACGCTTATTGTGGCCTTTTAAAGTTGTGTATGTGCTGAGTGCACAGTCAGCTCAACAGTAGGAGTAGTGGAATCAGACGGAGATTATATTTCAGCTTTAACTCCTTTTTTCCCCCATTTTTGAAGTCCCAAGTGCATATAAACCATAGCTATTTGAAAAGTGGTTCACGAGACTTTTGCAAGGCCTAGCATTTTCTTAACTATTACCATGCTGTGAGGAACATTTTCCCCAATAATATTTTCTTTCCGTGCTTTGAAAATTTAAGTTATACGAAATTCGGCAATAATTATCTTCTAAATATTGGACCATTTACCTCTAATTATTGATTGCAATGTAGGGCAAACCATGGCCTGCCGCTAACTGGAAATTTTATGTCGCCTTTTCTCTGTTCCGTGGGGCATCTATCTATGCTGGAGTACATTATAGATATATCTTGGTATAAGCTAGTATTTATTATATGGTTTGTTAAAGTTATTTTAGTATGCTTTCATACAGGGCCCAAATTCTTCGTCTGATCTATCTATAACCTTGTTATTTTAGGGAAATGCTTCTGGAGGAGAACGTGCCCGAAATGCTGGAAAGAAAGCTGATGCCATCATTGAAACTGCATGGGATTTTATTAATAGGGAATCTGCTCTTCCCGATCTTCCTCCACAGCGTAATGTTAATCTTTTAATATTCCATCTCAAAATTTACACTGTCAGTGGACTCATATAAGTGCTAGTCTATGGTTATAATTTACGTTTCATGGGCTATGGGGCCATTTTGTAGTTTGTTGATTATTGGTATTGTTTTCTTAATAGTAGTATATTTCAAATGATGTGTAGAAAGATGACCAGAAATATAGTTGATATGAATACTTTATCTTGTTTTTAATTTAATTTTATTAGTATGTAACTCTTTGGATGTCCCTTTACCGTGTTAGTATGTTCTGCACTGTGACTACTATTTCAGACATACTAAGGAAATCTGATTCTAAATCTAAACTCGCTACAATCTGCATGAATGAAAATGAGTACTCTGTAAGTACTGGCCATGCTTTTGATAAGAGTGTTACAGACGTTTTATTTTTCACATTATTCTCAACAAGTCGTATTAAATTTCTACAACTTGTTGCTCTCTGTCATAGCAAGGACCAGATTTTAATTTCAAAAGTATTTCCTACTTTTGTATTTCAGGAACTTGCTTAGTTCATACTTGCTCCTAAAAAAAGCTGTTTTGGTTTCTTTATATCAGGATCAGTATATCGGGAGCATGTGGAACAACTTGGAAAAGAAAGCACAGACAGCTTACATTCAAGCGAAGGAAGGTTTGTTCCGAATCAAAAGGTTCGAGATTTAAGAAACAGATTGATCAAGTTTATGGAGGATAATATCTACCCAATGGAAAACGAGTTCTACAAACTCGCTCAGTCTAGCAAGCGTTGGTCCATTCACCCCGAAGAGGAGAGGTTAAAGGATCTTGCTAAAAAAGAAGGGCTTTGGAACTTATGGATACCTGTATGTGCAGTGCTAAACTCTCTCTCTCTCTCTCTCTCTCTTTCTCTCTCTCTCTCTCTCATTAAATATCATTTCCTATGGAAGTTCAAAATGTGCCTTCTACTTTAATATTATAGTAGGAGTAACTGCAGAACAACCCTTGCGTTGACCTTGTCACTGAAAAACCCGATTACCTTTCCAGTTTGCAATATCTATTAAGGTGTCATTTCCTTAAAGAATCCTATGCTGATGGTTCATTTTCTCAAAAGAGTTGCAAATATTACAGGGCGTATTTATAAATTCCATTTTATTTATTTATTTATTTTTGTGGGAAGGGGTTGTAACTTTGTAATTAGACAAAACTTTTAGGATATGCTTTGTAATCAATATAAACTGCATGCTTTTGAATTTTCGGAAATATCTCGGTTCTTGTTTGCAGTTTGATAGTGCCGCCAGGGTTAAGCAAGTCATTTCCGCTGAAAGAAGAGACGATCATGTCGGAGAGGCGATCAATGGCTTACTAGGCGCTGGTCTTTCGAACCTCGAGTATGGATATCTTTGTGAGGTCATGGGCCGTTCCGTGTGGGCCCCACAGGTGTTCAATTGTGGGGCACCGGATACTGGAAACATGGAGGTTAGGAAAAACAGTATTCTTGCAGCTCTTTGCGTACCTTTTTTTTTTTTTTGTGAAATATACACACATTTCAAGGAGTATTTGTTATTTTGATGTGTAACTAATTAATTTTTGTTTTTTTTTTTTGTTTTTTTTTTCCTTTCTTTTCATAGTTGTATTTGTGATTAGCATCTATCCTAGCTTTTATACACTTCACTTTGCACGTAAAGTCAATTAAGTTGCTGCTGGACCTTAAAATCTTGATTTCCTTATAATTGAGAAATCAGTACAATGCTTGTAATACGCATTCTTCTGCCATACGAAACGACCAAAATAGAAGTAAATATTTTGATTATATTTATTTTTCCTTTTGCATGATATAGGAGAAGTGGTTCTTTATTATTTTCTTCTGCTTGCATTATCTTTCTTAGGTGCTAATGCGCTATGGAAATGCTGAACAAATACGTGAATGGCTTGTTCCTCTGCTTGAAGGAAATATACGCTCTGGCTTTGCAATGACCGAGCCCCAAGTTGCCTCGTCTGATGCTACTAATATAGAGTGTTCTATCACAAGGTACAAATTTACAGTTTTTTAAAACATTGAGAAGATCATCTTCTAGCTTTCTGGAGATTTGTATTTATCGAAGAAGATGAAAGAAAGAATAAGTTATGGTTGTGTGTAGAAAATTAGCATAAACTTAAAAATCCTATTCAAATGTCAACTTCTGCATAATCAATGTGTTTGTTTGTTCACGTACTCCTAGTGAATGCCTTTGCTTAATTAAAACGTATTGATTTATCCAATTGCATTATTTCGAAAATCCAAACATATTTGATGCTCTCAACAGACATGAAGATTGGTATATTATCAATGGGAGGAAGTGGTGGACAAGTGGAGCCATGGATCCTCGGTGCAAAATCCTTATTGTCATGGTTAGTTTTGCTTAACTTGGTGCCGTCAAAATTTTTTTTGTAGCCAATATTCTAATTCGCGATTTTTGCAGGGAAAAACTGACTTCAAAGCCCCCAAACACAGACAACAATCCATGATTTTGGTTGACATAAACTCCCCTGGTGTGACTATAAAGAGGCCACTGACAGTGTTTGGATTTGACGATGCCCCCCATGGGCATGCAGAAATAACTTTCGACAATGTACGCGTGCCATCTAAGAATATCCTCCTCGGGGAGGGTCGTGGATTTGAAATTGCACAGGTAAATAACAACAACAACAACAACAACAATAATAATAATAATATAGTAAATTATAGTATTATAATAACAACAACAGGTAAATAATAATTGCACAGGTAAATAACAACAACAACAACAACAATAGTAATAATAATAATATAGTAAATTATAGTATTATAATAATAGTGAAATTTATTGTTTCGATTGTCAAGTCGGAATAAATCTTATCTAAAAGTATGAAATAAAATGAGTGTTATGTCTGTTTTATTGAACTTGTAGTTTTACATTTGTAGACATTACCCATTTTCAAACTATGCTTGATATATTCTTTCCTTACTGCTGTAGGATAAATCACTTTAAGAGAAGAAGATTTTGCAAGCACTTCTTAGAACTTCGGAGACTCTTTGTTTGGCTTTTTTCAAGTTACATGCGTTGTGAGAGGTGGGTTTAACAAAAAAATTGTTGCCTCTTTCCTTCTTTTGTACATTTATCAGGGTAGGCTGGGGCCCGGAAGATTGCACCATTGCATGAGGCTGATTGGAGCAGCTGAGCGGGGCATGGAGATGATGATTCAGAGGGCAATAAGCAGACGGGCTTTTGACAAATTAATCGCCCAACATGGATCATTCATTTCAGATATTGCTAAGGTTTGTGTGGTTCTGTTTATATATATCGATATATATATA